GTCGAAACTATGAACTCAATAAACAAGACTATCTTAAACTGAAAACAGATTATATGAATGAATGCATTGAAAAGTGTATAAAAGAGAGATGTCTTGAATTGAAACAATGGAAACCAAATGAAATTTATATATTTGATTGTTTGCATCGAAGGGAACGGTATCTGAATATATCGTTCAGAAATGAAAGACTACATGCAATGGGATACTTAGGACATCCCGTTTGGAATGGGTGTCTAATTAGTAAGAAATGTAATTTTATTTGTGATAAACTCTATCCAAACGATTGCATCAAAAGGATATATGATTTTAAAGTGATGGATACAATTAAAACAAATGACGATAAATTGGAAATTAATATCAGGCACAACCGATTTCCGGATAAAATTTTTGAGCACACGCCTGAAATGTCATTGATATCATTGGTGTCTAGTTTTGGTGGATTAATGGGCATGTGGTTGAGTATGTCTATTGTGGTTATATTGGATTTTATAATTACAATCATTTTTAAGGATTGTGAGGATAGACCTAAAAGGAAACCGACTCTTAGACTTCAACAACAACTTACAAAAAGTAAAAATAATTTTTCCACTTATATGAAAAATCAATATTAAATATTTGTTAATACTTTTTAAAATCTTATATTGTTTATGTCTTAAGAAATTGTAATGTAATTGAAATACTGTTACAATTTAATAACAAATCTATTATTATTTGTCAAATCATATTGTAATTTTATAATAAATTATTATTTATTTTATTTTTCTATACATTAATGATCCAAAATAAATTACCATAATTATAACAATTTAATATTAATCACTATATTTGTATCCTATTCAGTTCAAATTAAGTACAATACAATTTTATGAAAAACAAGGTTGACATTGAAATCTTAATCATTTTGACTATACTGTTGTATCAAGTACATGTTTAAGAGCATTTGAATATTAGTAAAGAATAGAGATGTAAGCTCTTGTAAGTTACGTAACTTACACTGTAACTTACGCGTAACTTACGTGTAACTTACAACCAAAAAATAACTTACATGTAACTTACAAACCCATTACTAGCGACACCTATTGGCAAAATATCTGAAACTCACTCTAATTAACTTTAAAATTTACATCAATTTAATCAATTTTCAAAAATAAGTTAATTTAGTTAAATTTGTCTATTTAATTAACAATTCTATTACTATTGTATTGTTTTTATGTAAAAATGAATTGTTTTATATTCACTATTTAACAATGTTGGGTAGAAATATTGACATGTGATGAAATAATAACTTACGAAAATTACCGTTAGTTACCGTAAGTTACGTAAGTTACCGAGGGGAAAAATAAATTACATGTAATTTTCATCTCTAGTAAAGAACCATAATTATGTAAATCAGACTATTAATTATATATTTACGATCTGTTATATTCGTCATTCATAATTACAAAAAATGTATTTCTTATGTATTTCTTAATAATCAATTGTTTTTTACTCTAATAATAAGTACAGTTAAAGTTATTTTGTTTCTTAATTATTAAAAATAGGTTTTAATTAGGTTTTAAGATTAATGTATCTTTACTATATTAATGAATATAAAATATTGCTATTAATTTATATAAAAAACTAATAATTATATAATGTATAAAAACAATAAAAATTCAAAACTCAGTGTAAATTCATTTGGAAATTATGATTTAAGTAAACCAGTGGTCAAAAAGTCTAATTCTCGTACTACTCATGAAAGTCATTCATTTGTGAAGAAAGGTATTCATTTTGATTATAAGAAAAAACTTGAATTTACGTTAAAAGTATTGCTTACAATGGGATGTTTGACTGGATTTATATTACAAACCAAACAACTCATTGAACAGTATTTAAGTGGCAATACTATTGTCTACACAAAGATTGACAGATTGATGGAAAGCAAAATACCGGCCATTACTCTGTGTTTTCCAACTTTCTTATCAATTGAGAAATTTGGTCAAATGTATTCATCCAATCAATACATTAACAAATCATTTACAGAATATATTAATTATTTGCAAGATATTAAAAGTGATGATTTTTCTAATAGTCAACAAATATTGTCTAAGCTTTTTAATAATTATTATAATCAATGGTTTAAAAGAAGTTTTAAAAATCCAACAATTTATCAAATATTTGAGAATTTAAGTTATTCTTTGGCCAACTCTATGGCAATGAATGTATTTGTGGTGACAGTGAACACCACATCAAACGAAGACATCATTATCTCAGACACTGAAGGTTAACTTAGGTAGTCTAGATGCCGAGGAAATTTCTTCACAAAGTGTATAAAATCACTAAATTTACTTTTTACCGTCGTTAAATACTGAGTATAATTCATGTAAAGCCAATGTATAGTAGTGGTCTATCAATGGTTCCCACAATTTCGCGATCTTTTAATAATAGTTTAGTCAGAAGTGAGTGGCTTAGACTAAGGGCTTCTTTCATTTCTTAAAAAGTGAGTTTAATTTTACGGCAGTTTTCATAAATATTGTATAATACTTTAGGTCTGGGTTGAGGATGGCGGCCGTTATGTCACTAATTGTCGGAACTATGATATCAATAATAGTGAAGATCACCGAAAACTTAGGACTGATTTCACACTCGAATGCATTGAGAAATGTATGAAAGAAAGGTGTGGTCAACTGAGACAGCACAACTATGCTAATATTTATATGATCGACTTCTTGCATAGGAAGGAAAGGTATCTAAATATATCGATGAGAAATGAACATATAGACAATGTAGCCTATGATGGTCGCATGCATTGGATTGGTTGTCTCATAAGCAGAAAATGTCATTTCATGTGCGATCAACTCTATCCTAACAATTGTGTTCAAAGGATATATGATTTTAAAGTCATTGAGACAATCAATACAAATGACGATCAATTGGAAATCAATATCAGACACAACCGATTGCCTGATTATATCTTTGAACACACGCCTGAAATGTCCTGGATATCAGTTGTATCGAGTTTTGGTGGATTGCTAGGCATGTGGTTGAGTATGTCTATTGTGATTATATTGGATTTCATAATTACAATCATATTTAATGATTGGGAGAAGAGAACTAAGAAAAAAAGGTTTCGCAAACAACCCCTACAACCAAAACCAAGTTTCAATCAATATATTTCATAATTACTCTACATTTTCACAAAATCGTTAACAACTGAAAGTATTATTAGTTGTGAGAAAAGTATACTATATTGTAAATTTCAGTGATTTGAAATAATTCAATATTTTTTATGATAAATAAATTATTTGAAATCTATAGAAATAAAGTCTGTTAAATTATTTACCCAAAAAAAATTAAATACTGTTTTAAATGAATTTCATTTAAACCTGAAATATACTGCTTATATATTGCTTATATATTGTATATGGGTGCTGTTGTCTATACTTATAGTTCAATATATTTATACAATAGCAGTCAATAAGATACACGACTATTTAATTCACAAAGCTTTTTCATAATGATTACAACAATAATAAAAGTAAGTATAATATTTGATGAATGTTTTTCACAATTAATGATTAACTGTTTTTATAATAAAATTTTTAGTTAATTATAAAAATATGAGAGAATGAAAATAAATAAATATTATGTTAAATTCGTTTATATTTAATGTTTGAAACAATGTCTACAATTACTAATAAACGTAAATTATTTCTAAATTTGAAGAAAACTAAAACTATAAATAATCGGAAAATTAGTAAAAATAAAAATAAAAATAATATAAATAAATTTCTAAAGGATCCAAGTTTACAAAGTGACTTTAAGTATGAAAATGTATTCAAGAGGTGTTTAAAATTATTAGTAGTAATAATATGTTTGTCGGGATTTATATTTCAAATGAAGATATTGATTGAACAATATATGAGTGGAAAGACTGTTGTGAGCACCAGAATTGAAAGACTCAGCAAAAGTAGGATTCCGGCCATAACTCTATGTTTCCCAACATTNTTCCGGCCATAACTCTATGTTTCCCAACATTTATATCAATGGAAAAGTATGCTGAATATTATCCTAATAAAAGGGCTAAACAACCATTTATTAGTTATATGGATTATGTAAACAAAACCTCAAATCACAGGTTTAGTCCACAAATAATGGAAAATTTATATCAATATTATCAGAGATATTTTCATAACTTACCACCAGTACAGCCTACTGTATATGATTTGTTTGAATATTTTAGTTTCTCTCTAAATAATACACAAATAGTCACTGTTTTTATCAATAATAACACGAGTGAAGAGGAATATGCCGTATATGACGGCCAACCCTTCGAGACCATCACATCCACGGCTCCGTTCAGAAAATGTTTCACTTATTTCAGTGATTTGAGTCCCAAATGGCGACAATTCAAAGAAGTGAACATTAAATACATATTTGTAAAACTGGTTCATCACAACCAATGGTTTCCATTCACTCAACAATTATCCGGATATTCCCTAAGCATTCACTCACAGAATTTGATACCTGAGCTCAACGGTGAATACTTTGTGTCTATTAAGATGCCATCAAAAGTGGTGATCACATACTCGGAGATAAAGACACAGCTATTGCCCCCTAATTATGTGACTAATTGTAAAAATTATGACCTGGATGATAAAGAGTATTACCAAAACTTTAGATCAGATTGTTTAACCGATTGTATCGACAAATGCATAATATATAGATGTGCTCTAGTACAAAATTTAACATTACCCATGACATACATTCACGGGCGCCTTCATCGCAAGGAACAGTATGTTTATGTTAAGCCTATTAATAGCACTTATTTTTGGATAACTGACCAAATATTAGGTGAGTGTGCGGTCAGCAGGAGATGTCATTTATTATGTTCGGATAAATGTGCCAATAATTGTGTTGAAAGGATTTATGATTTTAAAGTGACCGAGACACACACATCAAATGATAATATAGAAGTTATTATCAAACACAATGGTATGCCTGATAAAAGTTTTGAGCACATGCCTGAACTCAAACTGATCTCATTTGTGTCTAATTTTGGTGGACAACTGGGCATGTGGTTAGGCATGTCTATCATTGTTATAATGAATTACATAATTACGTTAATTTTTAAAGATTGGGATAAGAGGTATAAGCGTAAGAAATCAGTTCAATCTATTCAACACAAATCCACATTTCATGAACACATTTATCATAAATATTGATATCATAATTACTTTATCATTATATTGAAAGAATAAAGATTATAATCTTTATTATACTAGTTTGTTAATTTTATATTTCATGATTGTGACATTTCTTTATTTTATATAAATTATGTCAATTTTAACATTTAAGTTTAATATTTAAAACTTTTATACTGCAAACTAATTTTAGTAACACATAATAAATAAACTTAATTTCAAATTATTTTAGAATTTATAACTTTGCTTATTCTCAATTTTTAATCTATTATAAAACATCTATTATTACATGTAATAACTTAGATATCAAAACAATTATAATAGATACTATAAAACGAACCAACGTTTTCATTTATTACTATAAATAAATTAATTAAAACAATGCGAAATCCTTTATTTAATTATTAGTTTAAAAGTATTCTGAAAGAATTTTTAAAATGAAAATAGATACTCTTTGAAATTGTTAGCAAGAACTTTACCAATTAAGTTATGTGTGTTTGTGTATAGAAACCTCAAATCTGGGCCAAATATGTCAACATTTAAAGCGGGTATAAGTCGTCTCTTTTCTCGTGAAAATAGTCTTCACGACGAGGATAGCGTCCAAAGAGAAGAAATACTTATTTCACGAAATGTTCAGATTATTGGACACAAAGACTTCAAAACAGAGTTTCGATGCAAGCGAGACATCAATTTGTTTGTCTCTAACTATCATATTCTTCTCGATTGCAAAGCCATTAATTTAGAGTCTATTGTCAATAACATCTTAACTGTAAGTTTTGAGATCAACTCAATAACCTTATTGTCTAAAAAACAATTTATTTGCTATGTGAAATGTTTATAGATTTTTAATATTTAGATCAATACTAAATAATTATTCTTTGGCTTATTATCTATAAATTGCGAAACATATTGTGAAACATATTTTGACTTTTAATGTTTTATTACATTTAGCATAACATAAGTTACTTGTTAGTACTACAGTACTACAAGTACTACAGGTCTGTATAGTATTATCTTATCAATACATTTCTCATATAAAATATACAATCAATTTTATTTATTGGAAATATAAAATAATATTTAGATCGATTTTTGTGTTTTAGTAAACATCAAGAATTAAATATAAAATATTAGTAAAAGTTAAGTTCTTTAATAGTATTATACGAAAGTGTTTAAAACTTAAGTTGATTACAATTAACTATATTATTATACTAAACTAATTACTATATGTTATTTGCCATTTTCACATACATACTGTATCAAAACTCTTATCAAAACTAGAGTAGCATTATTTTTAAAATAGTAATTTTTACAATGTCCTAATCACTGAATTAATTGTCAGCAATTGAATGGCAGTTTATCTGAGAAGGGAATAACTGATATAACAGACAACTTATATTGCATACAAAACCAATGTCTGAGTCAAACAATTCAAGGAATATATGTGCCATCGGGAGAGGGCCACCACTTCGACCAGACCTGGCTATGCACTCAGTAATCATACATTTCTATAACAATTAATTTTAATAAAATATAAAACTAAACATAATTCAAAACCCATTGAATAGTTGTTCGCTTCCATCCATCAAAAGACGGCAGATTTGTATCGCAAGACTATCTGAACCGACAAACCTTGGGATCACTTCACATAACATTAAATTCTTTATACTTATATTAGCGCCACTTAAAGAAGTATTAATTCTTAGTATTTGATATAATTATAAAATTATTAATTTAATTATAAATTAGAAATTAACCAAAAGTTCACAAGAAATTAGTCACACATTCGCCACTCTATTCGCCGACATATACTTCAGATTGGATTTAATTAACGCTAAGACTGAACAACAATTCATTGAATTTATCGATAAAAGAGTGCATCGATTGACAAATAAAACAACTGTTCATAACTTGAGTGCAATCGACGAACTTAGACAGAAATATGAAGAAAAACAAGTATTAATACAATAATAAAAATAAAATATATATATTGTGTTTATTGATATATTTTAATTAATGATATTTAATGATTAGACAAAAAAATTTGGTGTAAGCTTTGGTAGCGGACTCATCGAAAACTTTAAGCGACGGTCTAATTATTATTTGAGTGACTATATCGATGGTATACAGAAACACAACTTATGGCACAATTACTGATGAAAATCATATCTGATTGACAGGTTTTGTGGGCCCACCAAAGACTATACACAAGACTGTGGCCACAACGGTGTCCCTGTATTTCGCAATACTCCTGCCGTGTATAGCGTTTGGAGTCCGCGATCACAACAACACCAATGCTTTGATCGATACGAGACGTGCACTCATTGGACAGACTATTGGTGGAGCGGTGTTTGCATTACTCAGTGGTCAGCCACTGGTCATCATTATGACAACAGCGCCGTTATGTCTCTATACGAAAGTGGTTTACGACATATCCTATCAGTTGGAGGTTGACTTCTACGACATGTTTGGCTGCGTTGGGCTCTGGAATGTCTTCTTTGTCTTAATGTATGCCTTCTTTGATGTGAGTTATCTCATGAAGTGGTGCACGAGATCTACGGAAGAGATCTTCGGGTTGTTCTCATTCTTTGCATTCCTTATCGAACCGATCAAAGACTGTATTCAAAGTTAAGTCACTTTTAAATAGTTTAAAACTATACTAATTTAATTTAATAAATATTTTAAAATAGATTTTAAAGATTACTACTGTTTTGATCCACCAGTGAATACAAGTACTTCATGTGGTGATTGTAGTCCACAAAGCAGTGTCTTATTTGTACTCTTAATGTTACTGACCGTATGGCTCGCAGTCGCTATTTATAACTTCAATGCATCGTTAGTTTTGCTTAAATTTTAATATTATTTAATTATATATTTATATTTATATTTACTATACTTTCTATAAATTTAGACCATATTTAGATCACAACAAAAGGGAAATACTGGCGGATTATGCCCTTCCCATAGCTGTCATATCAATTAGTTTTGTGGGCACTTATCTGTTTCGTCATGTAAATGGTATAATTAGTACATTCAAAATGTATTATAAATTTTAAAAGTATGATTAAATCACTGAATAGCCAACAAAATAGAAATCAGTGAAAACTTTTCGTTTAATTTGGTTACATTCAAAAGCCTAACCATTGGATCCATATTTATATCAATGGTTTTGGGCTTTGCTCTGTCGCTGCTATTCTTTATGGACCAAAACATATGTAAGAAATATTGTATTTAACAAAAGTTTATATATTAAACAACTGCACCGACACTTTAACCCTAACAGCGGCCGCACTGGTCAACAACCCCAGCAATAAGTTGAAGAAAGGGGATGCCTATCACTGGGATCTCCTAGTGGTGGGTCTCTTAAATATATTCCTATCAGTGTTCGGTCTACCCTGGATGAATGGTATGCTACCCCACTCCCCCATCCACGCCCGAAGTTTGGCTGATATACAGCAAACTGTTGACCCAAACGGACAAATCAGGGAACGTGTGGTTCGGGGCCGTGAGACAAGAGTCACCGGATTAGCCACTCATATATTAATTGGGTTATCATTACTACTAATACCGGAACCGCTTGATTACATACCGGTGCCCGTTCTCAACGGTTTGTTCCTCTACTGTGCCATTGCCTCACTTCGAGGCAACTCTTTTGTCGAAAGAATGTTACTCTTTGTAACCGAACAGGTATTCAATGAAAAGAATATTTTATTTATTTTAGTGTCAGTTCATTAATTTGTCATATATTTTACAATTATATGAACAACATTGAAGACGGCATATCCGCCTAACCATTACATACGCCGGTGCCCACAGAAACTGATCCACGCGTTCACAATGATTCAGATCATTCAGTCGGCAGTTCTCTGTTTCTTTGCCTTTTCTGTCTGGCCTTACGTCCAAATGGCATATCCGGTGGTCATTGCGATCCTCATTCCCATTCGGTACTCATATTTATAAGTAAAAACTAATTATTAAATTTTAATCATAATTTTAATAATTTTTTAGTTCAAAAATAATTCCTTTAATAATCGATGAAAGATATGTTGAAGCAATAGATGGCTATCATTAGTGGAATATTTGATAATCTTAAATATTATGTGATTACAGATATAATAAAGTTTAATGCGATTAAAGTACCATGATATTACCATGATATTTTATTTGACAATAATCTCATAAATGAAAACAAATAATGAGAAAATAGAGCCCAGAATTAAGGGTCCGATTGCTATCTTGGTGTTTGACACCGAGAACCGATGATTTCGACTAATATGAATGTACTGGCTTTCACCTTGATAGAATTTCCAACCAAATTCCAGGGCCACTGAAGTCCATTTGGCACGCAATCCCTTCTCAGTGATGTCATACATTCTGATGAAAACACGATTAATAATTTAATTGATTTATTTCTAATTCACATTAATTTATAAAAATCTAATCAAAACATACATTCTCTCTGTTGTGTCAAACAAAATATTGTCGATATGTCTACTGAAGTATAAACTGCTGTATCGATTCGTATTGACTTCTGAGCCGAAGAAGAGGTTAGGGTCGTCCCCTTTCAATAGGGTCAGGGTATGGAGATCACCGATAATACAATGGGTCCTAATCTTAGACTTAACAATCAGTGCATTCTTCGCCAAATTGAGTAATTGGGTATCGGTTTCAAAGTCATTATTGGATTTACTTTTACGTATTATTGCCTTTTCATTTGGTTCTCCATTTGCCTACATATTACACAAAATTTCATTTTGATTGCTTTTACAATAATTAGAATTATAATATTTTGATGTAGCAATTTACAAGCATATAATGAACATTACTTCAATTTTTCTGATATCCACTTCACTCATGTAAATGAATGGCAATATATCATCCCTTTCTAACAGATCGTCAAATGTGTGGATAATAGTGTATTCTTTACGCATAGTTCGCGATAGAGTTAGGCTCGAGAAGGATTGCAACAAAACCACTGACATTATAGACACCAAACCATACATCATATACAGAATTAGTGGATTGAAATCATTCCTGAATTCTGGGGTTTACAACAATTTATTCAATCATTATGGACTTAGCTTTTAATTTAAATTCTTACTTTTAAAACACACTATTTCCAAAATAACAACGAATTCATTTAAAAATGCTTTCAACCAATATTTATTACTTTGTTGAATCCATTTGTATGTTGCAGTCACACAATATATTGCCAATATTGATACAAACATTAAAAACCAGATCTATTTATATGAAAATTTTAAATGTTGATTGGTATTTCGTGAAATAATCTAAATTCAGATAATAGATACTATACCCATAAGTCAAATATTCCAGTTATGGCTAAAAAATAATCTAGTGTATTAGGTGGGTATTTGATTCCCAAAATATTCATAATGGGTCTGACGTGAAATGCTGGCACAGATATCTTACTCGATTCTATCATTTTATCGGTGATGTCATCAAATCCTAAAAACATCTCAATTCTCTGTCAAGGATTTCAAGAAATTTTATATAAAAACCAAAATAATACTGTAAACTAAATCAAATATAATTACATTTTGAATGACATGATCTTCAAAATATCCTTCCCTTCCTTTGTAAACCCAATTAGATTTTGTAGAGTTTTCTCTCTCAATATATATCGGAATAGCACTATGGTTAATTAACATTTTTATTGTATTATTATTAATACCGGTAATAGATTTAATTTTTTTCTGCAAATCAATATATCAAATATTTCTTACTTGTATTGCAGTCGTTTGGTTAACTCTTTAATAATGAAATAATAAGGACTACACAAAAAGTTTTCGGCCTCTCCTAAAATCTATACAATTAGTGATTAATAAATAATTAATTAATTAATTAATTAGTGATGAAATATAATGAACCGCATATTCCCAGCTGAATGTGAAGTTTTTCTTCGCCTCAAATTCATATCCAAATGTTTGTATGTGATTAGGTTTAAAGGTGTCTGGTCCATAATAACACTCAAAGTTTGCTTTTATTGGAAACATTATGATTGTAAATTATATAAGTTTAATATTAGTAATTTTAATTTATTATTATCACAGAAATCTACTAATAACTTAACTAAGAATTTAACTTTTCATAATATATACGGTGATTATAGATAGTATATATTATAGAATAATCAATGTTTCTTATTATGATCCAAATAAATTATTTACAGTGATATTTTATCTAAAATTTACAATATATAAAAGTTATAATCTAAATTCTTTAAAATCTCAAACTTATAATTTTGATATAAACAGATTTTTACATTAAGGAATAATGATAACTAAATGGTTGAATGTCAATAACGTTGGTGGATAATAATGATTATTATAATATTATAACTTATTAAACTAATTAATTTTTTGTTTCAAATATCTAGACAAAACAATCTGAATAAAAGAAATTTGAATAAAATAAAAATTTCGCAAGAATAATATAATAGATTAATGTTTCTAATAACATTTTTACAATTAGTACTAGCTTATAATGGTACTTTTTTTAATTTTTATTATCAAGTATACAATATGTTTCAATATTGTTATCAATATGTTTTTTGTATTTGAAATGTATTAGTTATATAAATTACAAAACAGGATAATTTATATACAGTAGATCATACTACTGTAAACGTAAATGTAGTATTTAAATAATAAATAATAAAATAAAACATTTACTAACTAGAAACTTGATAGAAACTTATTTGATTTGATTGATTGCCTATATTG